TAAAGGAAGACCAGGATTGATGCAGGCTTAAGAAAGGTGTAAAGGAGACAGGAGGACGGAGCAAGTCGAGGGACTCTGAGCTGAAGTCCTGAAGATGCAAAGTGCTGAGGAATTGGCTTGGTTGAGCTATGGGCACGCATTTCCTGTGGTTCTTTCTGTCACACATACATCTCCGGAACCGTCCATTTTCTGGCCATGGCGCGCTGTCACTCGGCCCAGCGTCTTTTGGCAGAGCTTAGGATCCCGCCTACAGACACAGGGTCAGCCGTACCTGAGCTCCGCAGGAAGCTTCTCCAGTGTGTTCTGTCGGCTGCGGTGGGAGTTTCTGTCCAGCTTCCAGCCGGGCCAGGCTGCCTGGGGACGTGTCACCATTAGGAGAGCAGCCCTTAGCAAGTGCTGTTTGAAGGAGAGTGTCCCTGCTGCTGCCGGCAAGGCCGGGGTGGCACAGCCACTGGAAGGTGGAGAGGGCCTCCCAGCTTGGGTGTGAAGGGACTGCTGTTTTCCAGAGCTGTTTGAACAGGCCCCGAGCCCTGGGCAGGTCAGGTCCTCCCTGGTAGAGGCCAGGGAACGCTGCTGCCTTCAGGTCTTTAGTTGTAACCTGGTCTACCACCTATCCCCCCATTTCATTCTGAGAGAGGACCTAGGGGGGACTGTCATCTGGAGGTGAGATGGCTCACACATGTAACTGGCAGGGCCCGGTGACATCTGTCCCATTGATTATGGTGCCTTCAGCTACAGCCACAGCACACTGCCCGGTCTCCCCTTTTTCCATGACAACAAAATTAAGTCAGAGAGTCTCTTTTGCAGCAGCACCCCTTCCACAGAGAAATAAATGTTTGTGAATTACAAAACCTTCACGGAGCCCAGGTTCTGGGCAGTGGGGGCTAACAACGCGGATTCCTACAGGCCCACTCATTGGATAGGTGATGTGCTCTGCAGAGCCCTGGTTTGCGGCAGAGAAGTGGTTTTCTAGACACTCCTCTCCCCCCCTCCCAGCTCCAGAGATCACATTTCCTGATTGTCAGCCTTATCTCCATTCTTCCTGGGAATGGCTCTGGAACCGAGGTCCTTGTGGGTTTTCCTGTAACTGCTGTTGTGTTTCCCTCCCCAGATAAAGAGCCTGAGCCTGGCGCAGGCTGAGTCTTTGCTTCCCCCCTCTGTCCCGGGAGTCTCGTCTGCAGGTGGTCTTACTGTGAAGCGAAGGAGAGTTAAGCTCCAGCTTCAGACCCCTCTCACTGCACTTGCCCGTGGGCCTCCCAAGGCCCCGCCCTGGGAAGGAATCCATAAAATATGTGCTTTTGTAAAATTGGCCAAAAAGTGTTCTGTATTCATTTTCTTAAAGAGGGTCCCTAAAATTGTACAGGCTCCTAGCCCCACATAACCTGGACCTTTCCGGTAGATGCTGTTATTATTTTTTTTAATGAGTAACTTACAGATATATTTCTCTGTTTTTAATAACTTTTTACAATAACAGAAGTAAACATGTCAAATACTTATATAGCATTATATTGCACTTGCTTTATCACACATTTTCACAAAAGATTTTTTTTTTAGACTGAAATTTATGGTTTGTTTAGTTATCAGAGAATATCAGTTCTTGAAGAATTGCATGAGTCTACTGTAGCTCTGATGTTGGTCTTTCCCAGCAATTGGCTGGCCTCCTGCCTTTTGGACAGTGAGCTCTTGGCTTGGGGGCAGGAGGTGAGGGTCCAGGGCAGCTGATTAGGATCTTGCTGTGTCACCTGGCACGTCTCTTCCTCCTCTGGTTTCCCCATTTGTGAAATGAGTGGAGGTGGGGTGGGTAGGAATGAACTGAGTCATCTCCAGGGCTGAGTGACCTCTGGTGTCACAGTTGCAGGCCCTCGCCCACTGGGCGGGTTGGCTTGCTCACTAGATCACACTGGGACCTTCTCCTTCCCTAGAGCATTTGCATTGCCTGCTGGGTGTGCCTGCTCTGGCCATAGGGAACCCATTCAGAGTCTCGCCATGGTAACTGTTAACTGACAGTCCCAGTGAGCAAAGGTTTTTTGAGCTCTTATTCCCAGCCCTGCAGGAGAGGTGGGTTCCTTGGGCCCTTGTTCTCTGTTGGGATGGTTCTTTGTGTGACCTTGGTTTATTGCTTCCCTTGTCAGAGAAAGCTTGCGGAGCGCATAGAGCTCTTAGACAGAGAGCAGAGGCCTTTTCCATGTGGAGGGACTTGGAGGGAGGGAGAAAGCAGCGCTCACTGTCCGCATTCGTTTTCTATTGCTGCTGTTTAACAAGTTATCACAAATTAGTGGCTTAAAAGCACTACTTTTTTGCGGTAAAATATATATAACATACACTTTACCACTTTAACCGTTGGAGTGAATCTCCGTGACAGAATACATTCACCTTGTTGTGCAGCTGTCACCATCGTCCTTCTCCAGAGCCTTTTCATCTTGTAACTGGAACTCTGTCCCCATTAAACAGTCACTCATCGTTTCCCCTTCCCCAGCCATTTGACTACTCTCGGTACCTCATACCTCATAAGTGGAATCGTTTATATTTTGGTGACCAGTGTTAATCCAGTAAATTTGATGCGATTCACAAATCCAGCATCTCACCTAGCAGCTAGAAGGGCACTCAAAGATGTGTTTTCTTTGGAGGGACAGAATGGAAATGGAAGTGTTTTTTTTTTTTTTTCTCTCCCTCCCCCCATTGATGAGAGAGAGAGAGAGAAAGAGAAAAACAAACAAATTGCCTCCCCTGATCTGGAATTGAACCCAGAACTAAGGGTATAGGACTACGCTAAGTAGCTGAGCCACATCAGCCAGGGCAAAACTGGAAGGTTTGTTGTTGTTTTTTAAAGTATGTTTTTATTGATTTAGAGAGAGGGTGAGAGAGAGACATCGATCGGCGGCCTCCTGCATACCCCTTACTGAGGAACAAGCCCACAACCCGGGCATGTACCCTGATCAGCAATCAAACTGTTGGCCCTGGGAATGGTGGCACCAGGTGTCTGACTCATGGGGTCAGATCAGACCTGGGTTCAGCAACCTGAGTACTTGAGTTCTGGCTAAGAAAAGAATTCAGAACCAAGGCAAACTCGCTAGAGATTTATTTGGCAAGCAAAGGGAAAATGGAGCAGGCTCCTCAAAGCTGCCCGGGGAGTGGGCTAGGGCTCCTTTTAACCCCTGGCGGGCGTTTAATGGCTTTCTTCTTCAAACTGACCAGTCAGGGTCTGTCCAGTCGTCTTCTGTCCTTGAATGGAAGTTAGGTGGGGCTTTCCTCCAGCCCCTTGTTCTCTGAGGGTGAGAGTCTACCACGTGGCTTCACCATGGGCCAGGGGAGAAGGGTCAGGAGAATCCCACCTGCATGAGCCGAGGCATTCTCGGGTGGAGAGAGCGTCTCGGGCGAGCTACTGAATAATAATACTTATCTCCAATATTTGCTCCACCAGTTTTTTTCCCATTGCCAGGTGTCCGGGACATTGTCCTGGTGACCTTCTGTAACTGGCCCATTGTCCCTGCTCTGCTCATGTCTGTCTAACTCTGCCACAGAATGGGTGACCTCTTGGTGCATGGGGTGATGCTCAACCAGCTGAGCCATCCCGGCCAGGCTAAATGGAAGGGTTTTGATGGTGTAGATGGCCTCTTTGTGGGGTGGGTGGCGGAGAGGGCCTACCTGACAGATTACCTTACTGGTGCGTGATCAGGAAATCCCTGACTGGTCGATGAAGGTTCTGTTTCTGGGAAAGGATGAAACTGCAGTTAGGTCAGGTAGTAAGTCTAGGTTTGATATCAAGGGCTTTTAGCAAGAGTGATGCCATTTTGGGCCCGTGTTTTCTTTTTCTTTAGCACTGGCTTATTTCACTTCGTATAATTGCCTCCAAGGTTATTCATGTTCTGGCATGCATCAGAATTTCCTTCCTATTTAAGGGCTACTAATATTCTATGTATATACCACATTTTCTTTATCTGTTTATTGTTTATCTATTGATGGACATTTGTGTTGTTTACACATTTTGACTGAGAGCCCGTTATAAATATCAATGTAAGAAACGTCCAAACCTGTAGAGAACTTTGATGAATTTATCTGAACTAAACTGATGATAATGGCCGGGAAGCAAATCTCAATGAATTGAGAAAATGCTCTGGAGAGTGGCAGTTTTTCAGCTTCTTTTCTACATTACTACAGGCCCAATGCACGAGATTTGTGTAAGAGTAGGCCTTCCTTCCTCTGGCTGCCGGCACCGGCTTCTTCCGGAAGGACATCCGGTCTAATTAGCATATTACGCTTTTATTATTATAGACTAGAGGCCCGGTGCGCAAAATTTGTGCAGGGGGTGGGGGGGCATCCTTCAGTCTGGCCTGCACCCTCTCCAATCTGGGACCACTAGCTCCTAACTGCTCCCCTGCCTGATCGCCCCTAACCACTCTGCATACCTGCCTGATGCCCCTAACTGCTCTCCTGCCTGCCTGATCACACCTAACCACCTCTGCCTGCCTGCCTGCCTGATTGCCCCTAACTGCTCTCTCCTACCAGCCTGATTGCCCCTAACCACCTCTGCCTTGGCCCCGCCACTGTGACTTTGTCCAGAAGGACGTCCGGAAGGTTGTCCGGAAGATGTCCAGTCCAATTAGCATATTACCCTTTTATTAGTATAGGTAATCAAAGGAGGAGACATAAGTAGGTTACATGAAGTCCATTGGTGATAGATTAGGGAGGTGGGAGAAAGCAAAACAGAATTCTCTGAGATTGAATAGAGAGAAACTTTTTTTTCCCTTAGTCTATTCTCTTTCTTTTATTTTTTTCTCCTATACACATATTTCTTTTACATTCGTAGGTATAGGATAGTTAACAATGAATACAGCACATAGAGATGGTATTTGGGGAACAACATAACAATGAGAGGTTCTGTGGTTTTGTACTATGGTGTGAGGGGTCCAGAAAAAGGGGAATTACTCTGACATTCCAAAGATTTGTTATCTTACATATGAAAATACAGGCTTACTTAAAGGTAAAGGTTCTTTCCCTGGCCGGGTAATTTTGTTGGTTAGAGCGTTGTCCTGATACTCCAAGGTTGTGGGTTCGTTCCTGGTCAGGGAACATACAAGAATCCGATGAATGCATAAATAAGTGAAATAACAAATCAGCGTTTTTCTCTCTCAAATCAATAAATAAACATTTAAAGGTAAATGTTAGTGGTGGTAGGCTTGGGCCCAAATCGAAGTCTGTGTTCTGACTGTTTGTTAGACTGGTGGGGTCAGACTGGACCTCAGTTCAGCAAGCTTGGTACTTGAGTTCTGGCTAGGAACAAATTCAGAGCCAAGACTCAAACTATAGAGGACATTTATTTAGAAAATCACAGAAGTGGAAGAAGTGAGTGCTGGAAGACATGGGCTCAGGAAACAAGTTACAGAGGCCAAAGGAGGGCCCGTGGAGCTTGGAGTGAGGAAGGAAAAGGTAGCGCTCCTGGGAGGAAGGGAACAGGGTAGGGATGAGGGGGAGAGAAGAAGAGGCAGGCATGAGGTGGGGAGAGTGAGCTGGATCCTCCATCCTGAGGGTTTTAAGGGTGGACATTTTAGGGGAGGTCTCAGCGGAGGATCTCAATAGAAGACTCAGCAGCTCTCCAGGTGAAGTCTCCACTGATTGATTGGTCATCACCAGGGCAGGAGGTCATTATCCAGTGCAGCTGGTCCCGAGTCAGCCTTGGGGTCACTGCTCTGGTTTTGCTGCTTTTTGGGGCCTAGAGCTGAAACACAACTGAGGCCTAGATCTTATCTCTGGGGATGAGGCCCACCCTACAGTTGTCACTGCGAGGCACCCAAGGCTTTCCACCCTGGTGACCCGAACCTGGCCCGTCTTCCTGCTCTGCTCCCATCAGTCTTACTACCACAGTAAAGACTGACATTTGTCAAGGAAGCTACAGACCAGGACTCGCTGTTAGTTAGAGATTTCTGTGTTCAGACCATCCTAGGGGTTACTTTCAGTCTCAGAGTTTGTAAGGCTGCCATGCAGGCTTCCCCTGAGCTTATCAGTTTAGTATGTGGCTCCTTTTTTGTCCACATGAGTAATACTGCTATGAACATGGGTGTATAAATATGTTTGAGTCCCTGTTTTCAGTTGTTTTGGGTAAATGCCCAGAAGTGGAATTGCTGGGTCAAATGTTTAATTTTTTGAGGCACCGCCCTACTGTTTGCTACCGCAGCACCATTTCCCCACAGGGCCTTTGTCTTGTAGTTCAGTCTGTGAGAAACACTCACCAGTCCAGAATTAAAAAAGCAAAAAGGACATGGAGACACGAAGGGAGACATTTAATGTTGATCTTGCAAGATCAGGTGTCCAGTGGGCAGGCACGCTCAAAGTGGTTACCACCAGCATTTTATTCCCTAGTTCGCAGGCCCCTCCCCCGGTTCCTCATTGGCTGAGTACCATGGGGTGTACAATCTTCCCAGAGGTCGCCTAAGATTCTTGATATCCTTATAGGGTATTCTCTCTTTCCCCTTCCCAATTTAAGTTCCCTTGTCACTTGGCTCCTCCCCAACAACATCTTGTTTCCCGGGCCCCTCCAGGTGCATGAACTTTGTCACGTCTGCAGGCTGCTACGCAAGCAGACTGCCAGTAATTTTCCATTCAGGGTTAAATGCCTTGCTTTGGAAATGGACCACCACTGACTTTATTTCTTTTTTAAAAATACTTTTTTTCTCTTTTTAAAATATATTTTTATTGATTTCAGAAAGGAAGCTTAGAGAGAGAAACATCAATGATGAGAGAGAATTATTGATCAGCTGCCTCCTCCCTACTGGGTGGGGATCAATCTTGCAACCCAGGCATGTGCCCTTGACCGGAATCGAACCTGGGCTTTCAATATGCAGGCCGACCCTCTGTCCACTGAGCCAGCCCGGCCAGGGCTGACTTTATTTTATTTCTAAGGTGTCTCGCAGGTCTCTCAGTGCTCGTAGGCATGGACGCATCTTTTCTGGAGGCTCTAGAAGCGAATCCTTGTCTTCCCCCTCTCAAGGCACATGGCCCCGGCTGGTTCCTCCACAGATGGCGTCTCTCTCACGCTTATCTTTTCCTTTTCATCCTTAATTTCTCCTTATTCTTTCTTTTCATCCTTAACACAACCAGGAAAGGACTCATGTAATTAGATTGGGCCTACCTGGAAGGTTGGTAACTATAATCACATCTGCAAAGTAGCATTCTCACGTAAGGTAAGGTACCAGTCATAGGTTCCGGGGGATCCGGATGGGGACTATCAGTTGGGGGTGGTTTTGAAGGACCTAATCAAGGAACCCGATGGTGCCTTGAACTTGTGCTTTCAGAAGTCTTCCCCTCTCCTCTTTCCCGACCCCCCAGTGTGAGCCGGACACCTGTGGACTGAGCATCTGAACCTGTCCCTCTTTAGCCACTTGGGAGAGGGCGACACTGGGTGAGCTGGTTACAGTGAGATCTGTCTGTACTTTACAAAGGTCTTCCCTGTTCTCGCTTCATTCAGTCCTCGGTAACTCCAATGGAGCCCATCTCAGGATGGTCAGAGGGGCTGCCAGTGAAAGTCACTTAGCAGGTGTTGGAGTTGGGACCCAAACCCTGGCTGCCAGGCTAATAATGCTTCTTAGGAGGTTGAGGTAAGAAAAGTCCAAGCCTGTAGAGAATTGAAATAGAAATTTATTTGAGCCTGGAAGCCAGATCTCAACAGACCGAGGTAAATGCTTCTGAGACTAACAGAACATTTGCTGTTTCTTTTTTAAGGAAGGTAACCTGAAGGTGGGAGGAAGCAACTGGGGTTGCAGGATAAATTAAGATTATGTGCTCTCTTGGGGCTTATTTCAAAGGTGTGTTAACCTAGATGCACAGAAGCAATAGACAAGCTTGCTTAAGGCAAAAATAAACCCTTTACTAAGAAGTTAAATGCCTGGGGTGCAACTACCCACCCTGGCCTGCCCCATTAGGAATTTATGATCAGATCACCCTGTGAGGCTACTTTTTACAGAACCACTTTTTTTTGGTCTATAGGGGGTTAAAAATGAACTGAGTATCTACTATATGCTAATAAGCTACATGGTGGATAGCTTGCTATGTCTGTATCAGTGCATCAGCATCTCACAGCCAGAGTAAGATGGTGTATTTCCTCAATTTCACAGGTAAGGAGAAAGGCTGGAGAGAGGTGAAGCGACTTCCTGTCACAGCCAGCACGGGGTAGAGCTAGAATATTGGCTCCAAAGTTCGTGTGTCACTCAGGTTCCCCAGCAGAGCTAGGAGATGGTATCAGATCTGTGGGCTGTGGATGAGACTCACGCAGCAGAGCCGAGAAGTCTTGTGACTGCGCTGTGATGTTGGTGGCTCTTGCGGGGGCGTGTGGGTTGTGTGCAGATGAGGAACTGGCTTAGAGATGGAAGAGAATAACGGGTGGTGGAATAACTGCAGAGCATCTGGAGTTGGCCATTCTGAGACCCAGTGTTGGTGCCGCTTGGCTGCATGACCTGGGATGAACCACTCAGCTTCCCCTTTCCCCACCCCGACGGGGAAGGGTTCAGAGAGGGGGCTCCCCAAGTTCCTTTCCGGCACAGCTGTGTTTTACGTTAACTGCAGCGGGGCTGGGAGTGTGTGGCTCCCTGTGGGCCGAGGTGATCATGGAGAAACAGCACTGGGGTTGGACTTTGCAGGAGATGGAGGGACTTGAGAGCTAAATGGGGCGGCAAGTGGGGGCTCAGACATCTCGGGGACTTGTGCTGGATTAACATCTGCTGGTCCCTCTACCTGGTTTCTCAGGCTGGTCCTGGGGGGAGCCCGCTGGCAGGTGGTGTAATTGGGAGCAGCCTCCGGGGCGGAAGTGGTGAAACAAAGACACAGACCTGCCTCCCCAGCCTGAGCTGCGCTTAGAAGCATAGCCCGCAATTTCCTCCTTTTTTTGAGGGGGGAGGTATTTCCTCTTCCTGACGATACCTTGAACTTAAACTTGGGTGAGGGCTTTTTAAAAATTTTTTTTAATTTCTGTCACTGTCATAAAGACCTGATGTCTACAAGGACCACAACCTGAGCCCTGTGACATTCTGGCCTGGTTTCAGCCAGATATTGACAGCATATCTGGGTTCACCTTCTTCCTCTGCTGTCTGCTTTCCACTCCTTCGAAATTCCAAACTGGGCTTGGCATTTAGCTAAGTGATGGCTATTCCAGAAGCCCCTTCAGTGGGCAGGTGTCCGAGGGGCCTGTCCCCATGAACGAGAATGGGCTGGGTCTGCCGGAGAGCTGTGCTAAGGAGGGTTGGTAGAGAGTGGTGTGAAAGTGGTCCTTCCTGCCTTGCTCCCTCCCCTTCTCAGTTCTAAGGACCTGGTCTGGAAAGGCAGCTGAGAGGAGAGAACATGATGGCTGTCAGGCGGCGGGCCCAGAGTGGAAGTATAGCTGTCATTTGGTATTTGCGGGGGTTGGACACCACAACCCAAGGATGCTAAAGTCACTTATATAAAACTAGAGGCCCGGTGCACGGATTCATGCACATTGAAAGGAAATTAATTAGAAGGTGGCCGGCGGGGTGGGACTGGGCAAGACAGACTGGACATGCCCTGGAGCCAACCTCCCTCAGTCCCTCCCCATGCACCTGGGGTGGCGCCGGAGCTCGAAGGACGTCTGTGGAGTGAGTGGGGGTCTCTCCTGCAGATGGGGTCCCTCGGCCTGGCCTGTGGGGATTGGGCCCAAACCAGCAGTCCGACATCCCCCGAGAGGTCCCGGACTGTGAGAGGGCACTCCGCAAACTTGCTGTCGCTCGGCAGCTCCTGCGTTGAACGTCTGCCCCCTCGTGGTCAGTGTGCATCATACCTACCGGCCGGCCGACCGGTCACTTAGGCTTTTATATATATAGATAGATGGGTTAGTATTTGCATATAACCTGTGTATACCCTCCCAAATACTTTAAATCATCTCTAGGTGACTTATAATACCTAACACAGTGTAAATGCTATGTAAAGAGTTGTTATACTGTATTGTTTAGGGATCACTTTCTGGAATTTTTTTTCAAATATTTTTGATCAGTGATTGGATGAATGAGTGGATGTGGAATCTGCAGATATGGAGGGCGGGCTGCACCGGCAACAGGCTCCTGGGTGCCCCCAGTGCTGGGCCTTTGCAGGTCAAGGCCCTGCCTCCTCCAGTCCCTCTTCCCAGGCCAGTTTCCTCTTCTAGAGGCCTTTCCAAAGGTGCCTCTCCTCCCCCACAACCTTCCACTTCTGCTTCCTGCCTGTCCCCATTCCTGGAGCATGGACCAGGCGCTGGCACTCAGGCAAAGAGGATGGAAAGAAAACATTGCCAGTTTCCTGTTAGTGGTTTCTCCTTGGGGTGATTGGAAAATGCAGCCCAGCCATTCACAGGGCTGCTGCAGCAGAGCTGGGCTGGTGTGGGAGAAGGAACCTGCAGCCTTCACTTCTCCCTTCCTCTGTCCTTCGCACCGTCCTGACTTCCACATCTCCTGCTGCTCCCCCAGCCCATCCCCACCCTGCCGCCACGTTCCTCATCCTGAGTATTATCACGTGGGCCAGACCCTGGGACCCCTCTAATCCTGACTGCTGTCTTATACTGGGGAAGCTGATATGATGAAAGGTTAAGTGATAGGAGAACATTTGATATTAAACTGTTACCACTCCCATTTTACAGATACGGAAAAGGGAGGCCCACCACCTAGTAGAGGACAGAAGTGGAATTTGAACCTGGGCAGTCTGGCTTCAGATTTCATGTTCTTTTTTTTAAAAAAAAATTTTTTTATTGATTTCAGAGAGGAAGGGAGAGTGAGAGATAGAAACATCAATGATGATAGAGAATCATCCATCAACTACCTTCTGTAGGACCTCCCACCCCCCACTGAGGGTGGAGCCAGCAATCCAGGCACTTGGGGTATGTGGGAATCGAACCTGTGAGCGCCTGGTTCACAGGTCAGTGCTCAACCATTGAGCCACACGACTGCCCAGGCAAGCAGTGTTTTTTTTTAACATTTCAGTCTTTGAAATACTAATTTCTGAGCCCGTGGGTGGGCTCTGTGGGAAGTAGAGCCTGGCTGCCTGGGTTTGAATTCTGGTCCAGTCATTTACCAGCTGTAGCCTATGCAAGTTATATAATTTCTCAGTTTCCTTATCTCTAATATGGGAATCATAAGCTTAGTATTTGTTTTATAAAGTTTTTGTAAATTAAATTCCATGTAAAGCACTTAACACAGTGCCTAGTACATACGAAATAGTCAATAAATGTTAGCTATTATTGCCTAATAGGTTTGGGAAATTTGGGGATAGAGTTAATAAGCAAGCTCCTCTGTTACAGGCCTTGTCAGAGCCTTTGTTATTCTGTTATGAATGGGCACTTTCCTGGAAGGGGATGTAGCAGGCTTTGTTTTCCAAAGATTTTGGACAACTAATCTCTCTTTTTTACCTGGGCACCTGGTAAATAATTCTCAACTTGCAAGATGTTAAGTGGGTGTCAGAGAACCCAGTTCAGGAAGCACGGAGCGGAGTACCCCGTGCAGCCTGTTTCTGCTCAGCAAGTCTGAGTTGGGGGTGGGGGTGCAGGTGAGGCCCGAGACAGGCTTTGAATGGCTGCATGTGGCCTCCTTCTTCCCTCCCCACAGGTGTGGGGAGAGGGCAGTGATGTGAGCTGAGGCTCCTGAGGGTTTCTGGAACTTCCCGGCCAGGAGGAATGGCCTTGGCTGACCCCAGTTCAAAGCACAGTTACTGCAGTGTCTTCCCACTGCCCTTGGAGGAGGGTGTTAAAGTAGGTCACCAACTGCAGGACCAGCTGTGCCCACCAAAGGCAGCCCTGCCCAGGTTGAGATGGTCATGGGTTTTGCAGCCCTATTAGGGGCAGGAAGGCAGCTCTGCCTCAGCAGGCCGAGTCCTAGTGTGTGTTTGTGACTTGAGTAAGCCATGTCCCTGGCGTATTTTAGCTACAAAACTGAGATGGCTGGAAACTAGATCATCTTCAAGATCCCATCCAGTATGGACGTTCTGGAGTCTGTAAATCTAGGATTGGGCTGAAAACCTAAAGAGGTGTCCCCTTCAGGAGTCCAAAACTCAGTGAAGGAAGAGCCCTGAGAAGTGAAGTCCTCTGTCAAAACTCTTTTTATTGATTTCAGAGAGGAAGGGAGAGAGAGAGAGATAGAAACATCAGTGATGAGAGAGAACCATTGATTGGCTGCCTCCTGCATGCCCCCTACTGGGGATCAAGCTTGCAACCCGGGCATGTCCCCTTGATGGGAATCGAACCCGGGACCCTTCCGTCCACAGGCCGATTCTTTATCCACCGAGCCAAATTGGCTAGGGCTGTTTTCATTGCTTTTTAGAGAGAGAGAGGAGAGGGTGAGGGGAGGTGGAGAGAAACATCAATGTGAGGGAAACCTTGATCCGTTGCATCCTGTACACTCCCTGACCGGGAGTCGAACCCACAGCCTTTTGGTGTAAAGAATGACACTCCAACTGGGCCAGGGCTGTTCCTTTTATTTTCTAATTTTAAATGTAATTTACTTTTAAAGCAGTTTTAGGTTCACAGCAAAATTGAGTGGAAAATGCAGATTTCCCATATGGCCCCTGCCTGCACACATGTGCACCTTCCATCCCTCCTCTGTGTCCCTGCAAGTCAGGCGACAGCAAAAGATGCTGGAGGTGCAGAGTCCCACTGTGTCCCCATCTCGAATTTTTGGGTGGGGAGGGAGCTTCTTGTTCTGGGTGGTTCTGCCTCTTCCCCCAGCACAGCATTTCCTGTGCCTGGGGCTCCGTCTGGTGCCTTGTGGAGCCTTGGGATTTGATGGTGCACCTGTGTGTCCACACACAGCCTGAGGGAGCAGGTCCTTTCCCGGTCCCCACGTCCCCGCGTCCCCTTGCCTCTGAGGCTCGGTTCTGATGGGATTCAGGGACACCCGGGCTCTGGTGCTTTTCCTCAGGCAGCTGCTGCGAATAAACGCTGGACAGTGTGCAAACACCTGGAAGGAGTGTTTCCTAGAGTGTGGAGCCCAGAATTGCTGGGGGTGATGGCCGGGCTGAGGTGCTTGTTTAAGTCTCAGATTCCCGGGCCCATCCAGGTTGAAAGGCCCAGAGTGACGGGGCCCAGCCGGCTGCAGTTTGTAGTGAGCTCTCCAGGTGATTCTCATGCGTGGTGACCAGTGCTGCTCAGAGTGTGGTTCATAGTCAAGCAGCATTTGGGGTCCTCTCCCAGCCCTGCTGACTCAGACACGGGGGGACGGACCCAGCAATCTGGAGTAAGAAGCGCTGTAGACTGAAGGTTGAGAGCCACAGCTGCGGGAGGGCCACAGCTGGATGAAGTCGGTGTGCAGCTGCAGGTAGATGGGCCCCTCGAGGAAGGGAGGGTGGTGTTAGCTGCAGCAGCCCCAAGAGTCAGGGCCAGGGGCCTGAGGTTCCCTGGAGGCTGCTTTCTAAGAACGCGAAGTCCTGAGAGGCTATCTGCAGGCCCTGAGTCCCCGTCAGAGGTCTGTGACCAGAGCCCTGCCGGAACAGCAGTGGAGGAATCCCCACCCAGGCACCATTCTCCTCTGGGAGAGGACAGGAACAGGAGGGGCCGTTTGGAGCGCAGAAGGGGTGCTCCTGGGTGCCAAGGAGAGTGTGGGCCTGCTGGGTTGTAAGGACTGTGTTCTCGGCTGTCCTGGGCAGTGAGGTTGGACAGGCATTGGGAGGGACGCGGAACGGGGTGCCTAGAAGCCCTGCCGAACTCCCTTCTGAGCCTGAGATATGGCAGCCCCTGGGTCCTGGGAACAGCTTTGCCAAGACAGCAGGCCCCGGTGGTGGCTTCTTTTGAGAAGAATCAGAGGCCAAAGTTACCCAGAGACTAGAGGACGAGCAGATTTCTTAATTTTCACAAAGTGGGGAAGAATGTGAATGTGGAGTTGGAGCAGCAGCAGGATCCCTGCAGCCTCCCGGGACATGCCGTATTCGGAAAGGGAACAGGGGGCACTGGGAGCCAGGGTGCTGCACCCCGAGGCCGCCCCAGGCTCTCCGCTGGCCAGCTTTTCTCCTGGCGGTGAGATAGGAGGGCTCTAGGTGTGGGGGAGTGTCAGCACCCTTACCTGATGGAGACCCTCCTCACGCTGTTGTGAACACCGTGGGACAGTGTGCGCTGTTTTGTGGTTAGTTAGGTGGCCCGATGGCTGGCGGGTACCGGTACCGCTGTTGTCTAGCTGGGGTGGTCAGGAGGGACAGTTTGGGAGCTTCTGTCCTTGGCCCTTTCTGTATTGGTGGATGTGAAATAAAGCTGAGTTAGCGTGGAGATGTTTGATGTTGGTCAGCATCCCGGAGATCTCAGTAGGCTGAGCTCAGGCAGAAGGTAAGGGAGGAATTTAACAGGAATCTGCCTTAGGTCTCCATCCAGAACACCCCAGTGTTGCCAGTACAGGAGGTGGGAGGGGGAAGGAGAGGATGGTCCCGCCCTGCACTCTCCAGACCACACCTGGGGCCTCAGAAAACAAGGGAGTGGGTTGTAGCCCTGAAACTACTTCAGGCCAGAGGTGGCTGGGGAGATGATGGTTCTCAGGAGGGGAAGCCCGGAGGTCTTGGGGGAGAGAGGGAGACCCCGAGAGGAAGGACTGCTCCTTGGACGTGGGATTAGACCCGGCCTGTGGGCACCTAGGGCAGAGCTCATTGCCAGGGGAGATCCTGGCTCTTGCTGGGGACTCCGAGTCCACGTGGGAACGAGCACCCTGGAGGCAGGTGGAGGCTGACCTGCCGCCCTGCCCCAGCGGGAACACCCAGGCGGGGACACCCAGGCGGGCAACACCAGCGGTCCGGGTCCAGGCCCGAGTCCGGTATTTATATAGTCATGCTAACCCCAGGCTCGGAGAGGGGCTGTCTTGGACTGAATGGACCCTGTGTGTTATACAAATCTTGCAAGAGCAGCCGCTGGCAGCCTCCAGTGAGCTCAGAAATCCCCACCTGAATTGGGCCCTTTTAAAGTTGTTTTTAATAGGCAATACTTACGTGGTAAAAAATGCAAATATAAACAGTAAGCTTCATTTCTGCCTCCACTTTTTTCTCCAAAGGCAACCAGTGTTACCCAGTTTCTTGTTTATTGTTCCAGGGATGGCCTCTGTGCATGTGTGTATATATACACACACCACTAAGTTTGTATGTTTTCTTTTAAAAAAATATTAGTATTATACCTTGATTAATAACGGTGATCATTTCATATCCCCATATATAGAGCTGGCTAATTCCAAAAGTTGCTACAGAGTATCAATTGTATGACTCCGTTGCGATGTATTTAGGGCACATGTAGGGGTTTGTTGTAACCAGTGCTGCAGTCGCCCTGTGCAGATGTCCCCTCCCACGGTGTCAGTGTGCCTGCGCAGCGCACTTCCAGAAGTCCAGTCTCTGGGTCAAAGAGGTGTCGTTTTAAAGTTTGACGTCGCTGTACTGTTCATTGGTGATTCTCAGCAGATAGTGAGAGTGAACATCTTTGATCTTTAGTTCCTTTTCTGTAATTGCCTGCTCACATCATTTGAGTTTTCTTAGTGGTCTTTTTATTATAAAACATTTTTCTTAAGTTTGTCATTTCTCTTGTCTTTTAAAAATATATAGATATCTGTTTTTCTTTGATTTCAGAGAGAGGGAGGGAGAGAGGGATAGAAACATTAATGATGAGAGAATCATTGATTGGTTACTTCCTGCACGCCCCCTGCTGGGGATCAAGCCAGCAACCTGGGATCTCACCATGACTTTCCTGGTTCGTAGGTCGGTGTCCAGCCACGGAGCCACACTGGCCCGGCTCGCTTGTCTTTTTGTTGTTTTCCTTATTTGTTTCTTATCATGCAGAACATTAATTTTATATCTTTGGGTTTGGGGCCACTTCTTGCATTGAAATCTTTGGTCTGGCTGAATTTTATTTGGGGTATGGAACGGTAGTTTCTTGATTTCGTGGTGGTTTTTTGCTGCCACCTTGCTGTGGCTGTGGCCCTCTGGCTTCATTGCTCTGGGAGGAGACGAGAAGTGGACAGGGGTCTTTGGCGCCCAAAGCTTCTGCGTAGTGATGGTCTCCAGAGAGAGGATGTCAGACACAGCTGCAGCTCGCCTGTTCTCTCTTCCTCCACGAAGGTTCCCGGCTCACCCAGCACTCAGATCCCCAGGACCTCCACACCAGCAAGGTCTGAGGTCCTGGCAGAGGGTCAGGCTGAGGGCAGGACCTGGAGGGCTTTGTGCTGACCACTCACCAGCCACAGGGAGATGAAGCAGCCTTAGGGCAGCCCCATTGGGGTCTTGACCATCAGACCACTGTGTACAAGGAAAGGGGTCTGTGGTCCACGCTGCAGGTAGCCAGTTCTAGCTCTCTCCAAGGTCACTTAGCCATCTGGCCTCGAGATTGCTTTGCCTACAGTCACCGCTGGGCCCATCGACCAAAACAAATGACCTCGGCCATCGGGCTAAGAACCAGGCCCACCCTGGGGGACCGGTAGTACCGTAAGAAAGGCCTGCAGCCCCATGAAAATGCATTCCCAGTTCTCCAACACAGCTAAGAAGAGTAACTAGAATCTCATAGGTAGGTAGCAGTTTCTCAAAGTGGGGCTCTGTACCAGCAGGCAGCATCACCTGGGAACTTGTGAGAAATGCAAACTCTGTAGGTGGAGCCCACTGTTGTGTTGAACAAGCCCTCCAGGTGGCTCTGGTGCCCTGCATTTGGGAACCAGTGGGGCCCAGCATGGAAGGAGAGCTCACTGGGCCAGCAGGTGTGATTGTTAAGGGGGCCTACAGGTTTCTCACACTCTCTGCAAACCGCAGCAGCCACTGACTAGCAAGAGTGGCTGATACCACGGCAGATCCTTGTCGCTCCTGGGCAGTTTAATTGGCATGGGGCACGGCAGAGGGGTCTGTATTCACAGCAGCCTGGCTTACAGGCCTGTGTCCTCCTTTTTCCTACTTACCCTTGCTGAGCTCCAGGCCTCATCTTAGCAGCATGGTGCTGCCTCACTTGCCTGGTTCCCCCTCCTGGATCAGGTGAGCTCCTGAGGTCCCTCCTTGTTTCTGGAACAATGGTTCCTGCCAGGTTCCCTTGAGGGATGAACCAGAGGTTGGAGAATGAGAGTGTAGCCTGGGGCCGATTGGGGGGGTGGGCTGCCACAAGCGCTTCGCAGGTTGGGCACTGGGAGATGGGCTCTGGCCCCCTGCTGGATGGATGGTGATAAGGGCACTGGAAGATAGAGACAGAGAGAGAGGTGGGAGTGAAGCTTAGGTGAAAGGGGTTTTCAGGGAAGCCCACAGCTCGTGGGTGGCGAGTCCTATAGTGTGGGTGTGGGTGTGGGTGTGAGTGTGAGTGTGGGTGGGCCTGAGCTGGAGGCCCTGGCAGGTAGACGGTAAACTGGTTGCCACAGTCCAGACTGATGCAATTTCTCCTGCAGGGGCCTGGCTGTGGCTTGTGGCTTCCCGACATGTTTCTGGTTAGGCTGGTGGGAGCTCCCGGCAGAGCCTGAGCGGTTTTTTTCTTCCTTTCAGGTTTGACCATGAGCTACCCAGGGTACCCGCCGCCCTCAGGCGGCTACCCTCCAGTTGCACCAGGTAAGAGTGTGTGTGGGGAGGGAGGGATACGATTGTCCCCCACAGTGTAGCCAGGTGGGGTGGCGGCTGGCGGAGGGCAGGGAACCGGAGGCAGGAGAGCCTGGGCTTGAGACTGCCTCTGGGAGGCCAGGACCAGATCTCATGACTTCTTAGCTGATAGTGGTGGGCAAAGGCTTCTCCTGGCTGGTTGTCTCCTTTGCAAATGGCTTCACGGATCTCTCCCTCACTGGGCTGTCCCAGATGCTAACAAGAGAGCCAGCTAAAGCGTCTGGCATGGTGTCCTCGGCGCTGTCAGGTGACTTGTCACTTCTGTGCTCTGGGCGCAGGGTCCCCCTGCGGGGTTGGGGGTGGTGGTGAAGGTGGTCTCTGGGGGTCAGGTGTCCTGCGGCTGCACCAGCCACTGCTGCTCTGCATACCTAGAGGTTATCTTCTCTGGCCTGGCCCCCAGGGTAGGAGGGAAACGAGGGTTCCTGGGACAAGGGGGAGAAGGGACCGTTCCAGGCTGGTCATCCTGCAGTGGCCTGAGCTGTGATGCCCCTCATCTCTTCATTTCTCTAGAGCTGAGGCTCTGGAGTTTGAGCACTGAGGGCCCCACAGGCCATTTGGACTCGCCCCCCTCATCACCTGGTGAGGTCAGGCCTCAGCCACTGGCTCATCGGTGGAGCTGGGCCATCAAGCTCCGAGCAAGCCCTGGTCCTGATTTGCCAGCGCTGGCCTGAGTCCCTCTCTAGCAGGAATCCTATCGTCTGAGCAGGAGGAGAGGAGGCAGGTGACTCGGGAAGGCTCTGTCCTGAGTGTCTGGAGCTCTGCAGCGCAGAAGCCAAACTGGAGGCCCCAGGGAGCCTCCAGAACAGAAATGCATCTAACAGGCCAGCAGCCGGCATGATGACGCCAGCTGAGCTGCGTGCTGCCTGTCAGTGACAGCGGTAACATAGCGCCCTGGGCGCCCAGCTAGGCCCTGCATGGGCATTAACAGCCTCAGCCCGGCAACTTGAAGCAAACACTAGTTATTACCCCCCTTGTCCCCAGAGGAAACGGAACTTCGGTGGTGGGTCCCCGCCCCAGGACACAGTCCCTGGTCCTGCTGGTTCCAGAGCTGGGCTTTTCACTGATGTCCCCACTGTCCCCACAAGGACCGTGTCTGTGTTTAACGTGACTCGGGCCCATCTCCTTACCTCCTCCAACCTGCTCCTCCCTGCCTCTTGCAGACTCGCGATAGCAAACAGCCACAGTGGCAGCCTCCCCCTCCACCATGCGTTTGCATCTCCCTGGATTCTCAGTGCTCCCTGAGCTCCTGCTGTCGTGGACTCTGCACATTGTCCTAAAGTGACCTGTCCTTGTATCTGCACTCTTGCTCTATGATGGGGAGCCTAGGGTGGGGGTTGGGGGCAGATCTGCCCTTGACCTCCTGCATCCTGAGGACCCCACAGAGGGCTTGGGAGAGTTGATGAACCGTCCCTTCCCTCCCTGGACTGAGAGGAAGGCCCCCTCTTCCCTTCCTCCGGCAGTGGGACTGGGCTAGACTTGCTTGCCTGGGGGTTCTGTGTGGTCTGTAGTGCTGTCTCCGAGACCCTGTTTGGCCTGCCCCTGGGCCACCTGGGAGCTTGCTGTCTGCCTTTCCCTGTTGGGGGGCTGACCAGGGGCTAACGGGCTTGGTGTTGCTTTCAGGTGGCGGTGCCTGGGGAGGTGCTGGCTACCCCCAACCCAACATGCCCCCTATTGGGCTGGATAACGTGGCCAACTACGCAGGGCAGTTCAACCAGGACTACCTTTCAGGAATGGTGAGTCCAGCCCTCCTGCTGGGCTGCCTAGGCCCACTCCTGCAAGGGCGTGAGGCTGCTGGTTTCCAGAGTGTCGGGGGCTGTGTGTGTTACTGTGATGCTGAGTGTACTGAGGGGCATCTTAGGACAGGGGTTTTTGTCAGGTCTCTCACCTGCTCACCGTCCCTCTCTGCCTCTACATCTGCCCAGCTGTAAAAGCAGGGAGGGGACCGCACTGGGCGCACAGTCTGTTAGTCTTTTCTGGCTCTTCGGGGTTGGGTAGGGTGGTGCCTTTTTCAAATGTGTTGAGCGCCTTTTGTATGAGCTCAGAATAGGGCCGGCAGGGAGGTGAGGGTGGGTATGTGTATGTGTGTGCATGTGCCGTGTACAAATGTCCATCTTCGTGTGTATGTGTGAGTGTGAGTGTGAGTGTGTGTATGTATGTGTGGGTGGCTGTCCCGCTTGGGCCTGGGAGTGGATTCCTGGTAACATGCTACTTTTCCTTGTTGATTTGCTTTTAAAATCGTATACTTTGTAATCTAAGCAAATGTATGCTCCATGTAAATAATGTAACCAGTGGGCAGTCTAATACGTGCCAGGCCCATCCTGAGTACTGGGATATGTGGATGAAACACACCACAGCCTTAGCCCTGGAGTGCTGATTACCACTGGGAAGAGATGGGCAGTTGCCATGGTAACCATGCGGTGCTAGAGCCAGTGTGGGGGCTTTGGGCACAAGAGCAGGTGGAGGTCAGCAGTGCAGGTGGGGTGGGGGGACGGTGTCAGGTGCTCGGCTCCGAGGGCAGTGCCGGGGACCTGCAGGCTCAGGGCGGGGAGGGAGGAGGGAAGGCTCCCCTCCCCCTGTCGGGGGCTGGTTGGACTTTGTCGCCTGGGTGTTTCCGTGTGGTCTGCAGGGTTGTCCTGGGCCCTGCTTGGCCTCCTCGTTAGTCTTAGGCTCTTCTCTGCTTTGTGGACTTTCAGGCAGCCAACATGTCCGGGACGTTCGGAGGAGCCAACGTGCCAAACCCGTACCCTGGCGCCCCTGGGGCCCCCGGGGGCGGTTACCCTCCTCTGCCCCCTGGGGGTTTTGGGCAACCCCCTTCCACCCAGCAGCCTGTTCCTCCGTATGGAATGTACCCGCCCCCTGGAGGAAACCCGCCCTCTGGGATGCCTTCATACCCGTCATACCCAGGGGCCCCTGTGCCAGGCCAGCCCATGCCGCCTCCCGGACAGCAGCCCCCAGGAGCCTACCCTGGGCAGCCGCCAATGACCTACCCTGGGCAGTCACCAATGCCGCCTCCTGGGCAGCACCAGCAGCCGGTGCCAAGCTACCCAGCATATCAAGGGTCCGGGACCGTCACCCCTGCCGTGCCCCCATCTCAGGTGAGTGCCAGCCCTGTGCTACCTTCAGCCCCAGCCTGGCTCCAAAGGCCCAAGACGCATGGCCCAGTGTCCTGCCAGCGAGGCCAGGAGGGTGTGGCTGGGGGGTGTGGGTGGACAAGCCAGGGCTCAGTCCTCCACCTGTAACTTGTCTTAATCCTCACCTGAGGCTATTGTTCCATCGATTTTAGAGCAGAAGAGAGAGGAAAAGACAGAGAGAAATATCGTTGTGAGAGACACACACATTGATTGGTTGCCTCCTGCACGTGCCCCAACCAAGGTCAGGGCTGGGGAGGAGCTTGCAACCGAGGAACATGCCCCTGACCGGAATCGAACCCGGGACCCTTCGGTCCGCAGGCTGACGCTCTATCCACTGAGCCAACACGACTAGGGCTGTAACTACTTCTTGTTTTAACAGAGTGTCACTTTCTCAGACTCCCCAGCCCTGGTTTGAATTCCTGAAGAGCAGGGAGCTGCCCTGTCTCCCGGTGTGGTTAGATGTTCTGAGTGCGAGTTGGTGTGAATGTCCCGGGTGCTCTTCATTCCTCTGTGTTGTTTACTTACTGCCTGGGCTCAGGTTTTATGCCCAACAGCTCTGAGTCTTCAGCTCCTGGATGGGCCCCCACCTCCCATCCCACTCACTTGAGAGGATTTGTAAAACCTCCGTGTGGGGAAGATGGTTGGCCCTTCCTTCAGAGTTGCTCTTGGCTCCTTTGGGAGAGCAGTTTGTGTTTGCAGAGCCTAGAGTTCATTGTCATGGTTACATGGCCACCCCAGCAGAGTACAGTGCTAGTGCTGCTATGTGCTTGATGACTATTTTCAGACGGGGTCCCCTCTCTTCCCTGCCCCTCACATTCCCCCACCCCTGCCCTGCTCCCCTCCCTCCCTCCCTCCCTCTCTTCCACCTCATCTCTTCTCTTGAGTTTATCTCCTTAACTCTGAGTTTATCTCCTTAACTGTTAAAATCAGTCGGCATTAGCCATAGAAGGTAGCCCTCCATGAAACGGCTGAGGCAGGGAAATTCAAGTGTGCTGGGAGCACGGCTGCCAGTGTCCGGAACAAGTGAGGCGGCAGCAGGTTGTAGAGTCTAGAAGAGGTGCCAGGAGGTAGTCAGGCTGCTGGACCATCGTGAAGGGTGGGCACCGGCATCCCCCCAGAGCAGTCATCTTTTTCTGGTTTGCACAGAGATGCTCTGTGGACCAGCCATTAGATGATGCTTTGGTGGTAAGGCATCGAGGAGAAGCC